GGGGGGGAGGCAGGGGCATTGAGTATAAGGCAAATCTAGTAAGGGAGAACAGAGCTAGTTAGGGGAATGACACCAAACAAGCTGATCGGGAGCTTTTTTATGGAAAAGAGTGAGGCACGCACCGACTTATAAAACAGCATCGAAGCAAACGCAGGACGAGAACTTTTATTACTCACTGTGACATGTTTATCATCCACTGACACATCCAGTTGAGGTATGTTTATTTGGCACGTTCATGATTAGTTCACTGGTGTGCTCAATCGCTCTATGTTTGATATACAATCTGACATAAGTAGCACATGAGCATGTCCCAGATATCGGAAATGCCGGTATCTGGTGCACATCTTTTTTGCAATGCCTGCTCCCAAATTCCAAACCCCAACGTCATAGCACTATTGCGCACCTGTAAGAAATGGTAGGCATCCAATGCACACTTCTTGTATTGCTTGCTGCCAATCAAACTGGATAGTGATGTAGGTGGCCGACCTGCGAGAATTGACCCCCAGTTAAGGCCAGGCCAGAAACAATTACCACCATCAGTAGTGAGCACAAACAGACATAGCTTGGGACAACCAAGGAACAGATACACTGTGGGGGGGGGGKGGGGGTAGTATTGACTCGGCTATTTGTTGAACCACCGAGGGCAGCAAGAAGATGGAAAACACTATGACTCATGCATGTACCAGAGAGAGAGATGCAGAAGTTGTCGAATATATCAGAAGAAGCTGAAGTGGATGGAAAGGGCGGACAATTGGTCGGGCAAGCACTCTCGTGCCCCCTTCAATCTGCAAGGGCCAGCAGTTTTGCAAAAGCCGAAGGCCGACTCCAGGACTCAACAAAGTGACCTGCAAGGAAAATGAGCAACAGCAAGATGACAATATCCAGTTTGCACAATAACATTGAAAGCCAGAAAGTATCCCAGCGTCCAGAAAGCAGAAATGCACCAATATAAAACCAATGGAGAATAGTAACACTGAAAACCAAATGTCAATGAGAGCTTGCTCTTCGCCACCACCAACATAAGTGTCCAGGCCGTTCTCCCTACTTAGCGCTCAGCGCCCAGCCTACTTCCTACACAACTGTTGACATCAGCAGCCCACAAAGTACTTGAAGATGTCGCCCAATGCAGACCATCGCCAATACCAGGTATGTGCCCTCACATCATCATCATCATCATCCTTCTCTCTCTCCCTCGACTTACACCCATGTCTTCCCTCTGTACACCATGGCCTTATGGTTTTCTTATAAATTGAGGTGAAAAATGGGGGGTCGGTTAACCTTTTCTCGAAGACCACCTCTGCGCCTCACTGTAGTCCAAGCCTCAGCCAGCTATGGAGGCTGGGCTATGGCGCTGCCCTCAGCAGCGCCCTGCTTCCTGCACGACCGCACACACGCAGCACCTTGCCCTTAGCGCACAGCAGCACACGAGCCTTTGCTCCCGCAGAGCTGCCGCACAAACTGGCAAGTGCCTTAATGCACCTCCAGGCAGTGAGCTCTTTCCTATATGGAAAAAGTCTGCCTGCCCCGGCGGCCTGGCTGGGCCGGGGTGCTGCCCAGAAGCTTCCGGTAGGCCCCACGAGGCTGTGCCTCTGTTGCAGCTACTGGGCCTCGTTCGGTTGGGCCTCCCAACTGTCTGTGTATGAAGCTGCGATTCTGGCCCAGGGCCTGCATTTTCGAGAAGGCCTGGAAGGCCGTGGAATATCTGTGCTGCTCGGGCCTGTCTTTCCCTCAACCAACTGGCGCGTCACAACTGCCTGGCCCCCAAATGCGAATTTGACAGAAATGGGCCTCTCAAGATTTGTTAGGCCCGCCTTCACTTAGGGGGGGGCACATCTGTATCAGGGCCCCTTAGACCTGCCGAGGACCCAGATCCTCGCATTCCCTCCTTTACTTCGACAGTCCTATGAGAAGTCTTCTACTCTGCAGGCATCTTTCCCTTGAGTTCTCTTTCATAGCCTGCAATCACTTGAGGTGCTGTTCGCTGGAGTTCTTCTCTGGTGAACCACCGATCTTCGCTGGGATCAAGATGGTGTCTGAATCTGACACGATATTGCATCCTTGGCTTGGGAGGACGGCCTCTGCCCGGCGGTTTAGGCACTGGCATCATTCGATGCTCCACAATTTCGTCGATGTCGACTTTACCATCCATGGTTGGGGGCAGCATTCACCGTCTGGAGGGATACTGTGCAGTTTCTGCGAAAGGCGCCAGCTTTGAGGCGTGAAAAACTGGGTGTGTGCGTAAGTGAGGTGGGATATGAATCACATAGGAAGGTCCGTCTATCTGATCCCCGACTATGTCTAGGACCTCCCAAGGACCGAAGTACTGTGGCATCAATTCGCGAGATATGCCCAGTTCTTGACCCAGTTCATATAATTTGACCCAGACTCTATCACCTACCTGAAAGTTAGAGGGCGGTCTATGCTTATTCTGCCAGGTGCTGCAGTGGGCTGTCTTTCGGGTAGCAAAAAGTCAAGTGCAGTTTTGGGCTTCCAACCAAGATGCAATTGGTTGGGAGTCATACCAGTAGTACTGTGCACAACATTGTTATACAGGCTGGCGACGAGGGGTAGCTTCTCATCCTAGCCATCTTGACTTGGCTTAATATAATGCTGAAGCAGGTGCTGTACTACTCAGTTCATATGTTCTGCCTGGCCATTTGACTCAGGGTGGTTCCCTGACTTCATTTGCAGCTTGGTGCCCATCTGCTCAGCTGTTGACTGCCACAGTTTGCTGGTAAATCTTACATCCCTATCACTTTTATGACGTAGGGAGTCCAAAATCGCGTACCCAGTTATCCAAAAACAGTTTGATGACGTAGTCAGTTTTAGCAGTCTCCGACATAGCGATAAGTCTTGCATACTTGGAAAGGCAGTCCACTATAACGAAGATGTGTCTGATGCCAGCCCTGCTGGTCACATATCCATGAAATCCATGGACACACTCTGACCAGGACCTTCAGGAATCGGCAAGGGCTTGAGAAGCCCAAGTGGAGCCTGAGTCCTAGGTTTGTCCCGTTGGCAAACCTGGCACATTTCAACGTATCTCTTGACATCTTGCATGATAGAAGGCCACCAAAATCTCTGCACTAAATTGGCTGAAGTCTTTTTATAGCCGAAATGGCCACTTGCATCATGGCACTCTCCTAGAAACAAACTACGCAAAGACTCTCTATCTGGGAATCAATCTTTTATTCCCTACCTTCTCAAGAAACAGCAAGTCATCTACCATCGTAAATTCGTCGAAAGTTACCTTATCTTTCGCTTGAAATTTACGAATGATCTCAGACATTACTAGATCTTGCTGATAGGCCTCCACCAAGGATCGAGTTACATCGTCAGATATGTCAAACTCGGTTACTAGCGCGCCCAGATAATCTGCCCTACACGATAGCGCATCAGCCACCTTGTTGTACTCTCCCTTGGATTGGATCAAGTTGATAGTCGTACATGTCTATCACTTGGATCCACCTTTTCAGTGCATCAGAGAGTACAGGCTGAGTCTTGATCCAGCGCAAAGTCTCATGGTCAGATCTCAAGTAGAAGAATCTGCCTAGGAGATAGTGTCTCCAGTGGACCAGGGCTCTATAAAGGGCATAGAGCTCATGCTCATGCGTGGACTTTGCTAGCTTTTGGGATGACATCTTTTGGCTCATTTACTCGATTGGCCTCAACTTTTTCCCCTCCTTTTGCGCAAGGACCGCGCCTATGCCATACTGGCTGACATTTGTGATCACGACAAAGGGTTGCTCAGGATCTGAAAGTTTTAGGACTTCGTAGTGTGTCAGAGCATACTTCAATTTCTTGAAGCTTGCTTCACACTCTTCGGTCCACTCCCAAGGGGTGTCAGAACGAGTGAGATATGTTAGTGGGGAAGCTATAGTACTAAAGTTTTTAACGAACGAACGATAGTAGCCCGTCATCCCCAAAAACAATCGGACCTCAGTAATAGCCTCAGGTCTGGGCCAGTCTCGTATGCTGGCCACTTTGGCATCGTCCGGCCCAACCCATCCGCATATATTTCATGATCCAAGTACAAGATCTTGGTGCGCCCGAACTCGCATTTCTCCAAGTTTACCTTGTACTGGTGTTGTCTTAGGAGACCTAGCACTGTTTTTAAGTGCTCAATGTGCTCCTCTACAGTCTTACTAAAGATAAGGATATCGTCAAGGTACACGACGATAAACTTGTTTAAGTATTCATTAAAAATCCTATTCATTGCGTGCTGGAATGTTCCAGGGGCATTGCATAGGCCAACGGGCATCACCACAAACTCGTATAGACCGTGCCTGGTCTGGAAAGCGGTTTTGTGCTGGTCCTCATGTCTAATGGCAATTTGATGGTATCCGGACTTTAGATCTATCTTAGTAAAGTACCAACATCCCTGCACTCTATTCAATAGGTCGTCGATGCGGGGTAGGGCTTCTACGTTCTTCACGGTGATATCATTGAGGCCCCTATAGTCAATACACATCCTTAAGGTACCTCCCTTCTTAGGAACAATAGGACTGGAGCACCGCTAGCATATGGAACAATTCAGGTAGACGAGGCTCACCGGTCATTGATACCAACCCCTCGACTATGCCGAGACGGTCCGGGGTGTTGACAACACCATAGCCATCGTCGAATTTATCGATGGCAATTGGAAAGGGATGGAAGGATACCTGTGTTGACATCGCTGGATATCCCTCGGGTCTGTCTCTTATACACATCTAGATGTGTATAAGAGACAGGTTGACAACACCATAGCCATCGTCGAATTTATCGATGGCAATTGGAAAGGGATGGAAGGATACCTGTGTTGACATCGCTGGATATCCCTCGGGTATGCTGAGACGGTCCGGGGTGTTGACAACACCATAGCCATCGTTAAACTTATCAACGACAATTGGAAAGGGATGGAAAGACCCTGTGTTGACATCGCTGGATATCCTGGCGTGAAGTAAAGAGGACGCGAAGGAAGAGTGGGGCGCAACCAAAGGAGAGTGAAACAGTCGGTCGGCTACCGGAGGAAAGTGAGAAAACTGAATGAGAGGAAGAGCACATAGACCACGTGGGACACCGGGTGCAAGGGGACGGAGAGTAGAAGACAACGAGACACATAGTGTCTCGTGTGCCTATAAGAGAGAAGGAGCGAGGGGACTGAGGAGAAGTACGAGGGAAACAGGAACAAAGGAGGGCGACAAAAACAAGAGGGAGGACTCGGGAAGAAAAGGCTAGATACCGCAGAGTGCAAGGGGGGGTCGAAGGGTGGTCCCGAATTGGAAGACAGGTAACAGAATGAGAAGACGGAAAGGTTAACGGAAGTGGACGAAAGGAAACGGGCACGTCGGGACTGCAAGCGAATTTCGTAAAAAAGACTCATCGTGACAGGAGATGAGAGGGCAGTGAGCGAAAAAGGGAAGAAGAGAAGGGAGAGGAGTACAAGCGGGGGACTGGGCATCGAGGGAATGGACACCACGTCGGCAATGCGGGCGCAGCATAAGCAT